TTTCACCACCCTGAACAACTTCGTATCATCCGCAAATTTAGCCACTTCACTGCTTACTCCCAAGTCCAAATCATTAATGAACAAGTTAAAAAGCAGTGGACCAAGTACTGATCCCTGCGGTACCCCACTACTTACCACCCTCCACTGAGAAAATTGCCCAGAAGATCAGAACTCTACCTGGCAAACCCAGTTTGCGTCACTGGACTGAGAATTACTAGACAATGATTGTAGTTGGGAGTGAAGGACTTTGTGCTGTCTCCTAGCCTCCAGAGGGGGACTACAGAGAGTGATAGACAGGCCTGTTCTTCCCTTCCTTTCTACTGCTCTGATGCTGTCCCTTTGGTGTGTATAGGGCTACTTTCAGGGAGTCTTCCTTCCTTCCGATTACCACCTTCTCTCTCTCCCACCTCTCCCTCCCCGTCTCTCTCTCTGAAAAGTACACAGATGGAGAGTGATTTCAGCAAAGCGTATTTATTCTATCCGGAACAAGACAACTTTGGCCGGCTCGCAGGCTGGCTTATATCCCCCGAGAAACCGCCACCTAAAACACACCCCTACTTCCCTATAGGTTATTTACAGTGGCTGAGAGTCCCATAGGCTCCCGGCCGGGAACTTAGCCCCCTGATTGGAGCGGGCTAGGATCCGCATAGCCCATTGTCTCTTGGAGCGAAGCTCTGCGTTTGTCTCTGGACTCGTCTGGACTGGATACATTACACTCTCCCTCCCTCCCTCTCCCTCCTTCTCTATCTCCCTCTTTCCTTCCCTCTCTCTCCCCCTCGCTCTCCATATCTTGCAGCCATGAGGGCAGGACATGGTTTCCTGCATCTCCATCCTTCCTAGTTTAGCTAGTCAGCTTCGAAGGCTGTCTCTGCTCTATCCTGTCTCAAACAGAGTTCCTTGCAATAAAGGACTCTCATCAGCCTGGTAAAGCACAAAAGGCTCCCTGTGACCTTTTCCCCTCAAGCAGGCAGCGAATGCCTACTCCATTCCACTGCCCACATTGGCCTGAAAGAGGCTGGTCACCCTGTTCTTTCAGGGATGAGAACCAGCCGGGAATCAGAACTCTACCTGGCAAACCCAGTTTGCGTCACTGGACTGAGAATTACTAGACAATGATTGTAGTTGGGAGTGAAGGACTTTGTGCTGTCTCCTAGCCTCCAGAGGGGGACTACAGAGAGTGATAGACAGGCCTGTTCTTCCCTTCCTTTCTACTGCTCTGATGCTGTCCCTTTGGTGTGTATAGGGCTACTCTCAGGGAGTCTTCCTTCCTTCCGACTACCACCTTCTCTCTCCCCCACCTCTCCCTCCCCGTCTCTCTCTCTCTCTCTGAAAAGTATGCAGATGGAGAGTGATTTCAGCAAAGCGTATTTATTCTATCCGGAACAAGACAACTTTGGCCGGCTCGCAGGCTGGCTTATATCCCCCGAGAAACCGCCACCTAAAACACACCCCTACTTCCCTATGGGTTATTTACAGTGGCCGAGAGTCCTATACACTCTCGACCGGGAACCTAGCCCCCTGATTGGAGCGGGCTAGGATCCACATAGTCCATTGTCTCTTGGAGCGAAGCTCGACGTATGTCTCTGGACTTGTCTGGACTGGATACATTACACTCTCCCTCCCTCTCTCTCCTTCTCTCTCTCCCTCTTTCCTTCCCTCTCTGTCCCCCCCTCGCTCTCCATATTTTGCAGCCATGAGGGCAGGACATGGTTTCCTGCATCTCCATCCTTCCTAGTTTAGCTAGTCAGCTTCGAAGGCTGTCTCTTCCCTATCCTGTCTCAAACAGAGTTCCTTGCAATAAAGGACTCTCATCAGTCTGGTAAAGCACAAAAGGCTCCCTGTGACCTTTTCCCCTCAAGCAGGCAGCTAAGGCCTATTCCATTCCACTGCCCACACGGGCCTGAAAGAGGCTGGTCACCCTGTTCTTTCAGGGATGAGAACCAGCCGGGAAGTGAGCCTTAATCGGGGTTGCCAACCTCCGGGGATCACAACTGAACTCCAGGCGACAGAGAGCAGTTGCCTGGGAGACAATGACTGCCTTGCAGGTTGGACTTGACGGTGTTATACACCATTGAGCTTCTCAGGGAGTCTTCCTTCCTTCCGACTACCACCTTCTCTCTCCCCCACCTCTCCCTCCCCGTCTCTCTCTCTCTCTCTGAAAAGTATGCAGATGGAGAGTGATTTCAGCAAAGCGTATTTATTCTATCCGGAACAAGACAACTTTGGCCGGCTCGCAGGCTGGCTTATATCCCCCGAGAAACCGCCACCTAAAACACACCCCTACTTCCCTATGGGTTATTTACAGTGGCCGAGAGTCCTATACACTCTCGACCGGGAACCTAGCCCCCTGATTGGAGCGGGCTAGGATCCACATAGTCCATTGTCTCTTGGAGCGAAGCTCGACGTATGTCTCTGGACTTGTCTGGACTGGATACATTACACTCTCCCTCCCTCTCTCTCCTTCTCTCTCTCCCTCTTTCCTTCCCTCTCTGTCCCCCCCTCGCTCTCCATATTTTGCAGCCATGAGGGCAGGACATGGTTTCCTGCATCTCCATCCTTCCTAGTTTAGCTAGTCAGCTTCGAAGGCTGTCTCTTCCCTATCCTGTCTCAAACAGAGTTCCTTGCAATAAAGGACTCTCATCAGTCTGGTAAAGCACAAAAGGCTCCCTGTGACCTTTTCCCCTCAAGCAGGCAGCGAATGCCTACTCCATTCCACTGCCCACATTGGCCTGAAAGAGGCTGGTCACCCTGTTCTTTCAGGGATGAGAACCAGCCGGGAAATGAGCCTTTATCAGGGTTGCCAGCCTCTGTGTGGGGGCTGGAGATCTCCTGGGATCACAACTCAACTCCAGGCGACAGAGAGCAGTTGCTTGGGAGAAAATGGCTCCCTTGCAGGTTGGACTTGACGGTGTTATACACCGTTGAGCTCCCTCCCTCCCTCCCCCGAAGCAGTTTGGTGTAGTGGTTAAGTACACGGTGTAGTGGTGTGGTGCGCGGACTCTAATCTGGGAGAACCGGGTTTGATTCCCCACTCCTCCACTTGCAGCTGCTGGATGACCTTAGGCAAGCCGTAGTTCTGTCAGAGCTGTTCTTGAAAAAGAGCCGTTTCTGTCAGAGCTCTCTCAGCCCCACCCACCTCACAGGGTGTCTGTTGTGGGGAGGGGAAGGGAAAGGAGTTTGTAAGCCACTCCGAGACACCTTTGGGTAGTGAAGGGCAGGGTAGAAATCCAATCTTTTCTCCTCTCCTTCTCCAAACCCCACCCTCCACAAGCTCCACTGCCAAAATCTCTAGGTATTTCCCAAGTGGGAGCTGGCAACCCCAACCTTAAAGCAAAGGGTGTCCTCGGCAGGGGTCATTTCCTGCAGGAGCGCACAGGAGCGCAGCTCCGGCAGTAAAGAGCCCAGGGGGCGGGCACATGCAACAAGCCCCACCCCCTGCTCCCAGCAGCCCTCAGTCAGAGCAAGAAGCAGCCAGGTAAGTTGCAGAGCCCCTCCCCATTGGCCCCCCGGCCCAAAACAGTCCAGTGGCACCTTTAAGACCAAGTTTTATTCAGGTACAAGCTCTCCCTCCTCTGTGAGGGCAGATCTGGGCGTCCCCCCCCCCAAAGCTAGCAATCCAAAACAGTCCAGTGGAGCCTGAGCAGTGGGTGCTGCCTTCTGACACACTTCCGGTGATGTCAGGGGGTGTGGCATATGCAAATGAGTTATGCTAATGAGTTATGCGAATGAGCTCCTGCGCCTCTTTTTCTACGAAATGACCCCTGGTCCTGGGGGTTCTTCTTCAGGCAACATGCTAAAGAATTCCGATGTGATAGTGCCCTGTGGACAGTAAACATGCAGTCAGCCAGCAGAGAAAGGAGGTGAAGAAGAAGCCGTTCCTGAGGCCAGAAAAAAATGGGAAAGGAAGAACTGGTGTGGGCTGAGCCTCCCCAGTTACCCAAGGGCTGACACCGGGCCTGACCGTTGCCGCTCTTGTATTGATCTGATGTTTACTTTCAGGTTTCCAAAGTCCTGATCCTGGGGTCCGGCGGCTTGTCGATTGGCCAAGCTGGGGAATTTGATTATTCTGGATCACAGGCCGTCAAGGCCATGAAGGTGAGCTTGTAGAAATGGAAGTTTGAATGTCCTCCACCCCCTCCCTGCACAGAGCAGCGGATGCAACTGTTTCTGCGCACACTTGTTTTGTATGGTTTTGATTTTTGACTGCATGTACAAATTAGGTAAATGAAAGAATGGGCTACATTCAAAACATAAGAGCCCCGGTGGATCAGGCAACTGTCCATCTAGTCCAGCATCCCATCTCACCCAGTGGCCAACCAGTTTCTCTGGAGGGCCAACAACAGGGCAGAGAGGCCAAGTCCTTCCCCTGATGTTGCCTCCTGGCTCTCGGAGAGCCAGTTTGGTGTAGTGGTGAAGTGCGCCGACTCTAATCTGGGAGAACCGGGTTTGATTCCCCACTCCTCCACTTGCACCTGCTGATGTGACCTTGGGTCAGTCACAAGCTCTGGCACAGCTGTCTTTGAAAAAGAGCAGTTTGTGTTAGAGCTCTCTCAGCCCCACCCACCTCCCAGGGTGTCTGTTGTGGGGAGGGGAAGGGAAAGGAGTTTGTAAGCCGCTCTGAGACTCCAAGTGAAGGGCGGGGTATAAATCCAATCTCCTCCTCTCCTCCTCCACTTCTGAATGTGGAGGTTCCTCCCAACAGCTGCCCCCCCTTTTACAATTCGAAGATAACAATAAAGAGTCACCATAGTCCACAAGGGAGTGCAAAGAACCATTGAAGATAATGATACTTAAGGCCAGGGGTCATTTTCTGCAGGAGCGCACAGGAGCGCAGCTCCGGCAGTAAAGAGCCCAGGGGGCGGGCACATGCAACAAGCCCCACCCCCTGCTCCCAGAAGCCCTCAGTCAGAGCCGTACTTAAAAGATACCCGCTTCAGTCCAGAGCAAATGCTTCTTGACGGCCCAATGGTGGACTTTCCCAGTCTGATTGTTTCAGCGCACAGTCCTCCCGTCAGGATGGTCTGACTCCAGACCATCCCGAACGGCTGCCATTTTTAAAAACTCTTAGCGATACGTGCATAAATGCGTAAACGCGTAACAGCCGCGGAGCTCTGCTCAAACGTTCCGGACAATTTAATGTTTCTGGAGGGCCCATGAAATTTATGAACTGCATTAATTGAAACGGTACCGAGAGGGAGGTACCGCTGGCAGTGCTTTAACCGTTCAATTCCACAAATGCACGGAAAAACAAGTACACGTTGAGGGACAGATATGCATGCCGAAGCAGAAATATTTTATAAAAAACCCAACCGCGCAGCTCCTTGAGGTGGATGCTATCTAGACAATCCACCGTAGAGTACACGCGCGGTAAGGGCACTGTCTGGTCTTGCAACGCTGGATAAAAAAAAGATCTGGATCAAATTAGCGCCGGGCCAATGGCGGGATTTGCTGCCCATCTGAACAGGACCTGGGTCTCCAGTGAGCAGGGGTCATTTCATAGAAAAAGAGGTGCAGCAGCTCATTAGCATAACTCATTAGCATAACTTATTTGTCAGAAGGCAACACCCACCGCTCAGGCGCCACTGGACTGTTTTGGATTTTTTTTGGGGGGGAACGTGCAGATCTGTCCTCGCAGAGGAGGGAGAGCTTGTACCTGAATAAACCTTGGTCTTAAAGGTACCACTGGACTGTTTTGGACCGGGGGGCTGGGGGGGGCTCTGCAGCTTACCTGGCTGCTTCTTGCTCTAACTGAGGGCTGCTGGGAGCAGGGGGCGGGGCTTGTTGCATGGGCTCTTTACTGCCAGAGCTCCGCTCCTGTGCGCTCCTGCAGGAAATGACCCCTGCCAGTGAGTATCCCTGTTCTATAGCCTGGGTCGATATGACTCCAGGCTGTAGCCAGCCTACCTGATGCACTGCCAGGCCGTGATGCTAATCAAGAAATAACATCTCCTAAGGGAAGATAGATTGGAGGCTGCTTCCCTGTGCAAAGACTGTCTTGATTTCTAAAGGAGAGCCCGTCTCCTGAAAGAGATGCTCTCCCCTGCGTCTCTGGCCTGCTTCTTTCACATTTGAGGAAAGTTCTGTTTCCCAGCCTGTCTCGCCAGTGTGACCTTCCTCCCCCCCTCCACTCTGCCAGCTGCCTTGATCTTGGGGCTAATCAGCCATTCCAGCGGCAACTGTGCTGCTCCTGGTGACCTTCCCTCCGGCAGCATCATTTACAATAAGCGTGTGAAGCCCCGGCCGTTTGTGCGAGCGGAGCATTGCGGGATGGCTGTGCACCTTTCACATTGTTCACTGGGGACCAGCTTTAATTGGGAGAGGGGGTTTGTCTTGGAAGACAGCTCAGCAGAGTGATTAACATACAGCCAAACATCAACAGTCCCCGGGAACCGGCGTCAGTTTGTGAGGATGGCCATGGGAAGAGCAGGGAGCCGGAATCGAGGAGCGGCGCATTTGTTACCGAACGGGCACATTTGCATTTGAAAAATGCGCCCATAGCTTTTGTGTTAGAATGTTCCCCCCCCCCCGAAAACAGATTCATGAATTTGTCAAAGTTATATTTTGCACGGATTGCTGGCCTACCCTGCTTTCTTCAGCAATATTAATCGCGTCGTCCAGAATTCACACCCAAGGACCGCAATTATCACACGCTCTCTGGTGCATGTCCTGGTGGGGGGTTGCTCGTAAATTTGTGCTCCTCGCCAGAGTTATATAGCATTAGCATTAAATTGGCATTGATCTTAGATAATTAGAGTGGTGCTTGAGTCTGTTTTTTTCCGACAGGGCATAAGTCCACCGCCATGACAATATAACCTCTGGTACCTAGGAATACACATTGGTACTGTGTACAGAACTGCTGATTAAATGAAAGGCCGTATTCTCAAAAGACCCTCCCCTCCCCTTGTCCCAGTGGGGAGAAAATAGAACTGAAGAGATCCAGAGGGTGGAGAAAACCAATTCTTGCTTCTCTTGCTTCTCTTGCTTCCTGCTTCCCTGCTGGAGTTATGGGGTGGTCAGGGCCGGCTCTCTCACTAGGCCAGCTAGTCTCTGGCCTAGGGCGGAGCGCCGAACAGGGCGCCAACTGCCCTGGTGCCCTCCCTCCCGCCAAAAGCCCCCACCCTGCCCAAAGCCGCTGCTACTAAAACTCAACTCGCAGCGGTGGTGGCAGCGCGCATGCTGCTCTGTGCCGCCGTGCGCCCATCCATAGGGCACTCCTGCCCACCCCAACTTATGCATGGTGCACCCATTGGTCCCCATCGCTTATTCGCCACAGCACTATGAGCACCCCCCCGCGCGCCTGGCCTCCATCGGGCTCGGGGCGGGCGGAGCACAGACAGCGCCCCCTTCCAGGTCTGAGCTCCCTCCAGGGCGGGCCTCCCCCCCGGCAGCTGCCGCCTTTCCAGGGATGGGCTGTGGCGGTGACGGTAAGCCAGAGGCGCTGTGCATGCTCTCGGCCCCTGGGCTGTGGCGTCTCGTGAGCAAAAATCCTACTTTGTGAGCTGCTGGCATTAAAGTTCTGAGTGGGCGATTTGGCTGCTGCATGAATTAGTTTGCTCTGGAGCCACATCCTTCCTGAGCTGAGGTGCGCCTCCCCCCTCCTCCCCCCCCTTCGGTGGCGGCGGCAGTGGGGAGGGGAGGAGGTGGTGGAAAAAGAATGGCTGGGGAGGCAAGCGAGGTTCTCCTGTGTGGCGGCGCCTGGTTGCCTGCTGGAGGAAGGCCCCCCCCACAAGGAAGGTCGCTGGTTTTGGGTGGCGCTGCAATTCGCACACGACCCAAACGTGCTGCCCTGCCTCTCCCCCCCCCCCCTCG